TATTATAAAATAAGAGGAAAAATGGCAAGATGACAAATGAAAGGAGAGAGTTTCTTATTTCATCAAGTATTCTTCCTTCTACCAACATACAAATTTGTAGGCCTATATATAGGGTAAGGGACATAGGAGGTTACATTTGCTATTGAATAGGACTAAATGAGAATATGAATGGCACCTTAATGGACTCTCGAATGGCACCTTAATGGCCCCTTTGAATGGCCTATTGAATGGCCCTTTGAATGGCCTATTGAATGGCCCTTTGAATGGCCTTTAGTAGGTGGTCAAGAATGACCCTTTAATGGTGAGGAATGAACCCTTAATTGTGAGAAGTTGCAATATGTAAAGATGAATGTGAAGGTGAAGCATCCACTAATAAGAAAAATTCACAATACTCCCCCTTGGATGCTCACCTTTTGTATTTTATATGCTTTTAAACTACCTCATTAAAAACCTTGTCAGGAAAAACCCAATGGGATAAAAACCATAATGAAGGGAAAAAGAGTGCAGTACGTATAAAACTCCCCCTCATTTCAACGAAGCTCTTTAAGACGCCGCATGCCTATCTTGTGTACAAGTTGTTCAAAAACTTTGGTAGGCAATGACTTGGTGAAGAGATCTGCAAGATTCTCATTTGAACTAATTTGCTGAACATCTATTTCACCAACATTTTCAAGTTCATGTGTAGAGAAAAACTTTGGAGAAATATGCTTGGTTCTATCTCCTTTGATAAATCCTCCCTTTATTTGTGCAATGCATGCAGTATTGTCCTCATATAATAAGGTTGGATTTCCTGTAATTGCTTTAAGACCACATGTTACTTGAACATGCTGGATCAAAGATCTTAACCATACACATTCCCGACTAGCCTCATATAAGGCAATTAATTCTGATTGATTTGAGGATGTGGCAACAATGGTCTATTTGGTTGAACGCCAAGAAATTGCGGTACCAACATATGTGAATAAATATCCAGTTTGTGATCTCCCTTTATGTGGATCAGACAAATATCCAGCGTCTGCATATCCAACTAACTCTAGTTTTGAGTGCTTTGAGTAAAGTAATCCCATATCTTTTGTTCCTTGAAGATAACGGAATAAATGTTTAATGCCATTCCAATGTCTTCGTGTTGGTGCAGAACTATATCTTGCTAACAAATTCACAGAAAACGCGATATTAGGTTGCGTATTGTTAGCTAAATACATCAATGCACCTATGGCACTTAAATATGGTACCTCAGGACCAAGAATTTCTTCATTATCTTCACAAGGTCAAAAAGGATCTTTCTTTACATCAAGGGATCGAACAACCATTGGAGAGCTTAAAGGATGAGATTTGTCCATATTAAATCTCTTCAATATCTTTTAAACATAATTGAGTTGATGGACAAAAATTCCATTTGATAAGTGCTCAATCTGTAAACCGAGACAAAATTTTGTTGTCCCGAGATCTTTCATCTCGAATTCTTTCTTTAAACATTCAATTGCCTTTTCAAGCTCTCCAGATGTCCCAATGATATTTATATCATCAACATATACAGCAATGATAGCAAAACTAGATTTTGATCTCTTGGTAAAAACACATGGACTAATGGGATTATTTTCATATCCTTCTTTTAGGAGATATTCACTTAGGCAATTGTACCACATTCGCCCTGATTGTTTCAAGCCATGTAGAGACCGTTTTAATTTTATTGAAAATATCTCTCTTAGCATTGAGTTATATGCCTCAGGCATTTTAAGTCCAATAGGGACTTTCATATAAATGTCACTATCAAGTGATCCGTATAAGTAAGCAGTTACAACATCCATGAGGCGCATTTGAAGGCCTTCAGAAACTGCTAAACTTATTAGAAACCTGAATGTAATTGCATCCATCACAGGAGAATATGTTTCCACATAATCAACGCCAGGTATTTGTGTAAAGCCTTGAGCTACCAGTCTGGCTTTGTGTCTCACAACCTCATTTTTTTCATTTTGTTTTCTCACAAACACCCATTTATAACCGACAGGCTTTACATCATTGGGTGTTTGGACAATTGGTCCGAAAACTTGACGTTTTTCTAATAATTTCAATTCTGCCTGAATTGCATCTTTCCATTTTGGCCAATCACCTCTTTGTTGGCATTCTTCAATGGATTTCGGTTCGAGATCCTCATTTTCATTGACTATATCATTTGCTATAGCAAATGCAAAAACATCATCAATGACAACATCATTTCGATTCTACTTTATCCCAGTGGAAATATAATTTATTGAGATCTCATCATTATTTTCAATATCTGCATCTTCATTATTTTCAACAACTTGAACATTTTCTGGGATTATTTCTTTAGATGCATTTTCTTACTATTGTTTAGAGAACTTTTGAGTCTCTACAATTTCAATGGAGCCAACATTCTGCTTTCTCTTCATTCTTGGATTTTTATCTTTGGAACCGACAGGTCTACCACGCTTTTGGCATATAATAGATTTATTTGCTATTGTTTTAGCACCTTTTTGAACAGGAATATCAATTCAAGTAAGAACATTCAAAACTGGGATGTGTGAACTAGTTACCTTCTTTGCATTAGTGAATGCGTCGAGCAATTGATTTGCAATCTTTTGCAAATGAATAATTTTTTGAACTTCTAGTTCACTTTTACCTGTTCGAGGGTCTAAATGAGATATAGATAATGCATCCCAAGTTAATTCCTGTTTCTTCAACTTTTGTTCCTCTCCCCCTAATGTTGGGAACAAAATTTTCATCAAAATGACAATCAGCAAATCTTGCTGTGAAGAGATCACTAGTCATTAGTTCAAGATATTTAATTATAGATGGTGATTCAAAACCAACATAAATTCCCAGCCTTCTTTGGGGACCCATTTTAGTGCGCTGTGTAGGAGTAATAGGAACATATACAGCACAGCCAAAAATCTTTAAATGGGATATATTTGGTTCAATCCCAGAAACAAGTTGTAATGGTGAATGCTTATGATAAGCAGTTGGCCTTAATCGAATCAACGCTGCAGCATGCAATATAGCATGGCCCCAAGCAGAAGCG